CGGGCCGTGCTCTCAGTCTCTTCCCTTCCCGCCGCAGCACCTCCCGCATCCCGACGCGCTTCTCCGGGACCGGACTGCGAGAGCCGCCGTGCCTCCGGTGCTCCGCTGGTGCGGGGGAGGAAGCTTGTCCTTGGCGCTGCGCGGAGCGGCGAGAGGAACTCGAGCAAGATGAAAACGGTACTGTCGGTGCCCGTTTGGGGGTCCTGCTTTGTCCGGGGAGCGTTGGGCTGTGAAAGCGCTGGTTTCTTACCCGCTCGGTAAAAAAAAACGAGCTTTCGGAATTGCGGAGGCGCACGCTATAGCGAAGCCGGCATCGCAGTTTCACAGGCGTAGGTCTTCCCTGTCATATTTTTTCTATAGGAGTTACCTCTTGTGCTTCAAAATTTTACCGGGACCTTGCTGTTTGAGGTGGGCAGGGCAGTTGCTGCTGTTTCACCCTCCCGGTTGTGAAGCAGTTGTTGCATTTGTGAACATGTGCAGAGCTCTTTGTGTGATTCTTCTTTTCTTTTTTAATAACAGATGTAAAAAAAGATAGGATATATTTAAATTCTGCTATTTATTTTATTTTTTTTTCCTGGATAAAAAAATACCCTTGGGAGATCCTTCCAGGTTTCTGATGTAAGTAACTCTGCTTCCTGGAGTGCTGCATGTGAATTGCGTTTGGGCTGGTTTGTAAATGTCGTAGCAGGCCCCTCAAACCCTCGTGTTTTAGTTTTCTGCTGCAAGTGGGCAAGGCAGTTAGTACCTCCAGTCTAACTCTGATAGTCCTGAATCCCTTTGGGTTTTGTGTCTTTTCACATGTATCTGAAATACTTGAAGAGGTACACTGTTTAAAGTGGAATGAAGTTGAGCCGATTTCTCTGTAGTGTTCATATGGAAATAAAAGTGTGACAAACTTCTGATTTCTGTCTTTTGCCCAACTATTCCTAAAGCAGAGCTCAAAAAGGGGTTTAAGGAAGAAGCTTTTATTTCCTATTCTTAAAACAGATTTTTTGTCTCCCTTCACATTTAAATAGCAGAAATAGGCTTTGTGTTTACACAGTGGTGTTTGGCTTTTTTTCTTGAAGGGTGTCTTACAGAACACCTGCCAAAGCTCCCACTTGGGGAATTTTTCCAGTGTAAGAATGTGTAACACTCACATTATTATACAACTTGATGATTGTTCGGTTACTGACAAGTGCTGAACTAGAGTAATTGTGCACTAAATTAGAACTTTGTCCTAGTTCATCTGCTCCTTCTCTCTTGGTTTATTCTCTGAGGTCTAATCTTAACCTCTGCAGTTGTACATACAAATTCAGGAGTGATAGTGGTATAGAAAATCTGAGCTTATTTAGTCTTCTCCTCTGCCCTTTTAGCGTAAGGGAAATGTGCTGTTAAAGCTTTCTGAAGCCTTAAAAAAAGTTTTGGTGGTTTTGTTGGCGTACATTTAATGAACAGTCTCTGCTTTCAGAGTGTTTGTAAGGTCTGTGCTGTCTTCCCAGCCGAAATTTACTGTTCATAGCCTCTGCTCTCCTTGGAATATTTGTATATGCAATTAACCAGTCCCGTGAAGTGAGTGCTCCAGTTACCTTCACAGTCATTGAACTGTTGATTTTTTTTTTTTCCAGTCACATCACAGTTACGTGTTTGCTCTACATTTCAGTACCCCCAAAGCATAACTTGCCTTTGTTATCTGACCTTTAGACTCTGAAGAGGGGAAAAAAAAAATCTTAAAGCTGCTTCACTGGAAATATTTTATAGCACTTAAGGAAACCTAACAACTGGGAAGTTGCAGAGTGCCCAAAACTATCTAAAGATGATCCAACTGCAATTCTTGGAAGTGAATGACAGTCATACCAAATCAGGAACAAATCAGTGCTTTTCACTGGAGTTTTCAAATTGGATTCTGTTCTGCCTGCGTACGTTTAAGTAGCTTCTTGATGCAGGCAGTAATTTCTGAATATTTAGTTTTAGAAATACAGCCACATACACAGTTAAGTGAGGGAAAAATACAGTTGTAAGTAGCAAGGTCTAAGCTTACAGATGATAATAATAAAAATAAACTTTTTGTTTATTCCATGTTGTATTTGATATTTAAATTTAAAAGCTCTCTGTAGGGGGAGGAATTTATCGAAGTCTTGGACAGTGATTAGCATCTTGAATTTTAGAAAGTTTGTCAGAAATCTGTGTGTTCTGAACTTTTTCTGTGTAAAAACTAGTAAACTTTTCAGGTCTACTTTAAGTTACCTTTAAGATGGATCAGTTAGCTAATTAACTTGCTAGGCTTATGTTCTTGTTATTACTAAAATTGTATCTGGGCATTATTGTCTTTTTTTCAGATGACAGGATCAAACGAGTTCAAACTAAATCAAACTCCAGATGATGGTATTTCATCGGTAAAGTTTAGTCCAAATACATCTCAGTTCCTGCTTGTTTCATCCTGGGACACCACCGTCCGGCTCTATGATGTTCCTGCCAACACCATGAGGCTCAAATATCAACATTCAGGAGCTGTCCTTGACTGTGCTTTTTATGTAAGTGTGTGAGGTGGTTTTTTTTTAATTATTATTTTATAGACCTATAATGCCTGAGGTACGTGAGAAACTGTCAGTCCCTGAAATTAAAGTGATAGTGAAATCCTACCTGAATTCTAGGTTTAAAAAAAAAAACAAAACAGCTTCTGCCAATTATTCTTCTTTTAAATGGTGTCGTTCTGGTCCTAAGTACAGGTATGGCCTGTGAAAGGCGCAGGCAAACAAGTAATTTGCTTCTGGTAGAAGTGGTAGGCAAAAGTGATTTGAGCTGGTTTGTGCTTTTTCTGCAGTGGTATGGTGAATTGTGTGCATGTTTTTTGAAAAGGGTTGTACTGGCGCTGTATAGCCAGAAATCATTATTCACAATAAATGCCCATAGCCAATTATTCTTTTCTTTTTAACCTTCTCATACAGGGTTGTTTTGGAAACATGGCATTGTTCCAAGTGAGCCATTTACCAGACACTTGATTTCTGTGTTTTTGATGCACAGGATTTGAAATATGAATGCTCTAAGTGTATTGGTGCCACTGTTTTCTTTTGACTATTTTTTTTTTTTTTTTTTTTTTTTTGTGGAAATAGAAGGTTTCAGTTAGCATCATCTTTTTTTGCATTGTATTCTGGCATGTCCTCCAGTGCCTTGATCTTGATGTGTTAGTGAGTGTTTTAAGGATCAGTATAAATTTTTAATTATGCTGGTGCTGTTTTCACTGAACATTTTATCACATAGCTAACACTGTGCTGTGGATCAACACACAGATTCTCAAAAGGTTTCTAGTTTCCAAACTAGTTTTAGAAGGAATACACTTCAATTAGGTGGAACTGGCTTAGGTTGGCGGTCATTTAAAAATAAGCATTATGTGTTTTGCTGTTACAGAAATAGAAAATATTTCATATAGCCTGTAACTGGTTTTGTTCCTTTTTAGTTTTACTTTTAAATAATAATAAAAAAAAAAATGTTTAGCTCAAAGTGCTTTACTTAAACATTTTGGAAAGCCGCTGACTGTTTAGATCTGGGCTGGATCTTAATCCTTGTGTCTTAGTTCCCATCTTCCCAAAACTCTTGAAAGCAAGTCCTCTGTTGTGAGCCTGGGAGGTTAAATGTATAGCAGCCAGGGAAACTTAACGTATGTCATAAGGTGAAATTTTTTGCTTTATAGGATCCTACCCATGCCTGGAGCGGAGGATTAGATCAGCAATTGAAAATGCATGATCTGAACACGGACCAAGGTAAGCAAGTTGAATTCTGTAAGTGGTCTCAACAACTGGTCTAAGCTTCAGGTTTATATGCTTACGTGAGTGGAGCATCAAGTTTCATAGATGGGGGACATTTGCCTTACATAGTAGCCTCTATTGATTTAAGTTGTCAGTGCTCAGCAGTCTCCCTTGCTATGCAGCCCTTTCTCCTCACCGAGGCACTGGACAAGGCAGTGTTCCTTACTGTGCGACTGAGGGTTGTGCTGTAACACCTTTAACAGAAGGGCAGAATCTGTTGCTGCCAAACTGAGAGTTTAAACTTTTCCCGTGATGAGTATTCATTGATGTATTTTACATGTGTTTTTTGCTTATTTATTTTAAGGTGAAAATGGAAGGAAAGGAAATAGCTATATACTTGTCACACTGACGATGTAAGGTTCGCATCGTGTGTACCTTTATCTAGCAGAATAACTGGTGGCCCTAGTAAGTACCACCTAAAAGCACGGAAGTGTATGGCAGTTTGCTGGAAAGTTTGGTAGCTGCTTGCTGTAGGATGCCAGATTGGATTCTGATGATCATCCTGCTCTGCCATAGGCTACTGTGTCTCGGTTAGGGGGAATTACCTAAGCAGAGCTAAAACTGAGCAGGTTATTTTTCAAAGGTTTTGTGGTTTAGACATATTTAGGATGGTCTTCACATGTATGGCGGAATGTATATAGTAAAGCTTTTGCTTTGTCAAACATCATGGCCTTATGCTACATTTTTTCTGACACAACATTGCTTGAAAGTAACCCAGTTCCAGTGCCTCATTGGTGCAAGATACAGAATTAGTTTGTCTGGTGCCTTTGTGTGTTCGTATGCATATTATAAAAAAAGCAAGTCTCAGCCTGAGACAAATGCAGTCACCAGAACCAACCAATAGCCAGGGCTCGACAAACTTGTGTGCACAGTAAAGTTATGGAAAAGGTCAAATAATTCTGTTATAGGTGACTTTCTAGAAGTGTTTATATTAATAAGTTTATTAATATGATATTCCTTTATTATGTTACAGTTTACAAGCTGAAGTCGTTTTCTGTACTCGCGTCAGCCTCGCAGGCGGTGATACCATTTGATACTGAACATTTCTTTATACTTCAGAAGATCTCTTCATGGCTGCCTATTATGCCTCTGAAGACTGAACTGTCTTTAAAGGGACTCCTAGCGTATCAATACACCCATGGGGACGTCAGAAAAGAGCTTGTTCGTACCACCGTGGTGTCTCCTTTTTTTATTCTGTATTCAACACATTCTGACTGTCTGCAGAGCCGGTGAAGTTACAATATGTTGTCTTTTCTTACAGAAAACCTTGTTGGTGCCCATGATGCTCCTATCAGGTGTGTTGAGTATTGCCCAGAAGTGAATGTCATGGTGACTGGCAGCTGGGATCAGACAGTTAAGCTGTGGGATCCCAGAACTCCTTGTAATGCAGGAACCTTCTCTCAACCTGAAAAGGTGTGTACCAGATGCTGTATTCCAAGTGATACGTTAAATAATACATCCAGTGACTGGATGTAAAACATCACCACACAGGACACTGTATTAAGCTGAAGTGAATTTGAAAAGAATGGTTTTTAAGCTGTGAAAATGTTGCGTTGTAAAATACCGATACTCAGAATATATTGTGATTTTTAGGTTGAGGCTTTGGGCTTTGATCAGTAGGAGTGCATAACTTGATTCTTAGCGCTTGTAATGGACCAAATTTGTTTAATTTAAAATAAGCTTGAGGAAACAAAATCTAACAAAAACAGCATGTGAAATTGAAACAATTGTTAATAATCCTTGGCTTAATTGTGATATGTGTTATCGATTTCCTTGAATGTGAAGACTTTTAGCTATATCGGATCCTGGTAGTCATAAGGTCTGCTTGTTTTGAAATGTGCATAGAGATGTAGTAGGAGGCCAGTTATGTTGCCTGAAATAGTATTTTGATTTTTCACTTGGAGTAAAAGATTGAACAGAATTGCTTGTATTGTAATTTACCTGTCATTGTAGTAATGCCCTGTAAATTCAGATGCTCTCCTAACACTGAAATCCTAAACACTAAAATCCTAACACTAAAATGAGAGACCAAGAGAAATAAGGTAAAATGTAATGTCTGAAGCTTTTTCTAATGGTTATATAGTGTGTTAATCTTTATACTGCTTAGAATGGTGTTGTTGAAAGAAATACAGAACAATCATTTCTTGTTTTTTTTCATAGACTCCTAAACACAGACTGAGTGGCCGGATAATTTTACATAAAAATATTTTTTTTGCCTACACCTTTTTAAAATTTCCTTTAGCTCTGTCACATTGTATTATCGAGTCATAATTACGAGCCATCATTTTGTTCCCTGTTGCATCTAAATAGCTGTTACTTTTGTTACAACATAGCTGAAACTACTTCTGGCGAGACCTTTGTTCAGAATCAAGTAATTGCATTATTTCTACTTTTGATTTATAGTTGTATGTAGCATGTAAAGAACTGTGATAAATTGCTGACAGAATATCATATAATGGACAGCCACAGTGAATCAAGATGCTTATTGGTTCAGCAAGGTTCATTATGTCATTTTTTTAATGCTGCCTTTGATAAATGTGTACACCTACTCAACTGCATGACAATGGTTTCATTTGATTTATGAGTGTGTAGTGTAGAAAGAATACTTACTGTACAGGTGTGACATCAGTTTGTAAAGAAGATTTAAGATATTTAATGCTCTTTATGCCTTTGTTTACATGTATAGAAACACATTATATAAAATGTTTATTAATATTTTCGGCTCATTTTTTACATCGATAATGAAGGGAGGTTTGAAAAACTGTCTTGTTAAAGTGTGTAACTACTGCTGGCTCAAAGTTTTCTTGCCCTTTTTATAGGTAAGTGGTGCTTGGCCTTTGGGATCATCAGAAATTTTAGGCAACTCCTATGTGAACATTTGAGACATTTGCCATCTTAAGTCCTCAGTGTTGAGAGGGAGGTGCAGTAATCACATTTAAGAGCAAGAATGCATGCTGAATGAATGTGGATTAAAGGAAGTTTTTTTAATGTGTATATACGTGTGTGTATATATATACACATGTACATGTGCACATGCACACACCTGTTGGCTTAGGTTTTTTAATTAGAAACTAACTTTTTTGAAGACGTAATTTCTGCAGAAATGTTTGTAGCAGATGAAGATAGTAGTTGTTTTGTCTTGATATTTCAGTGCAGTTTTACCAAGAACCAAATCGCTTTATTGGGCTTTATCAGAGAACCAGAAAGTGAAACTGGGTGCTTGAGTGAAGTTGTACAAGCACATGCCAAGAGTAAATTTGCTCCTCCTGGCAGGGTACCAGATATCTTACAGTTTTGATTCTTCATCTGAGGTATATACGATATCTGTTTCCTATGTATTCAGCTGCATTAGATCACTTTTGAAAAAGCTCACTTTCAGAGTTTGCTCTCGTTAGCAGCTCGGTGACAGGATAGCTACAGGCCGCTGGATTCCATCTTGCTTGTGCATCAACAACTTGCAATTCGTTTGATAGCACAGAGTTTTTGGCTGAACCTTTCTTCTTTTTTAAATGTGTTTCCAGATTAACTGCATCCCAAGTATAGTTGGAAACAGAACGATTTATATGCTGAATATTTTAATGAGAAATTTGATAAACAAGAGTTAGAGCCTCTGAACTGGTTTTTGGAGTAGAGTTGAAATTCCAAGCCATAGTCTTTTATAATGATGTCAAGCATACTGCTTCCTTCAGTTTCACTTAGTTTTATTAAAGTATACAAAGCACTGTTTTTGTAATGATTGCTTGGCAACTTATTTCCCTTTATTAACATGAAGCTCAGCTCGGAGTATTCTGTTTAAAAAGAAAAGCACATTATTACCAGATGGAGGAAAACTGGGAAGAAAATATGTGATGTGGTATTGTGGGACTAAACTGCGTGATCGTGAATTGATAGAGGGGAATGCAAGCTGTGCATACCAAGCAGAGATGAATTCCAATATCCATGCCCCCCCCTTGTTGTTTTGTATCTGTTTTCCTCTTTCCTTGAAATATGCAGTAAATTTAATGCTTGAAATAATTTTTGAGGAAAACTTGAGTAATGCTGATTTCTCTTTTGAATTATACATAAATATTTCTGTACACGTGTAGCATTTAGAACTTGGGTAATACCAGCAAAAGGAAGAAGTCTCACGTGTGGAAGATTATGTAGATATTACTGAGGTCTGGAGACTGGTAACTCAACAAACGTGCTTGAAATTTAGAACTGCACAAGTGCCTATGCCTATTAATTTTTTTTTGAAATTAGTTATATGTAATATGGAACTGTGTTGGGCTTGATTTTTTTTTTCAGCTGTGTGCTTGGATACAGAATTAAGGGTGAGCTTTTGAAATGCTACATCAGTGTCTTATCACTACCCAGATGCACACCGCTGCTGTTTATCCCAAATTTGAATTATGGGTTAAAGCTAAAGGGAATCCTGTAGCTATAGACCTTATTCTAGAAGTCGCCTGTTTTGTTGTTGTGTATTATATTTTATACAAAAAACCAATGGATATCCAGGCTAAGCAGTGTTAAGTATTGTAATTTTTTTTTTTAAAGGTCTACACGCTGTCTGTGTCTGGAGACAGACTAATTGTGGGGACGGCAGGTCGGAGGGTGCTGGTGTGGGATTTGAGGAACATGGGGTATGTTCAGCAGCGAAGAGAATCAAGCCTGAAATACCAGACCCGCTGTATCAGAGCATTTCCCAATAAACAGGTATGGGAACCATGCCCGTAATTATATTTCTGCTGGATATTGTTTAGGAAAACTGGGGGTTTATTTTTCAAGTTTTCTGCATCTTTCTGTAATTTTAAAAAGTTTCTGGTCAATCAAACTCTTGGCGGGGGGAGGAGTGGTGTTAAGGCTTCTTGTTCTGGGTTAACCCTCTTCAGGTAGCGCCGCTTAGGAACGTTTGCCGCTGACTTTGCAGCATATTATGTTTTCTTTTTTTTTTTTCCCTCAGTTTTGTCTGCTTTTTTAAAATAACCTCTTTAATGCATCACAATGCTGATGTAATTAAAAACCAGAACAAACCAAAACCCCGCAAAGTTGCAGTAGAAGAGAGGAAGACCGAACTGGCGGCTGCCCAGCAGCCTTTCTGCACTGTAGCCCTGTGTTCTTTAATAGGCTGTGAACAGGGGCAGGATTAAAACTATATGAATGTCATTTCTGTATATCTTATTTCTTTAACTGTGAGTCTGTGTCATGCACTCAAGAACCCATGATCCATTATTTCGGGGGAATTGTACAATTTAAATGATCATACTGCTGTTCTGTGTATGTTAACGTATTGTATCTGTGGTATTTACTTTCCGAAGTAAAGCAAGAAGATTAGCTTTTTCTGACAAACTAGTCTGGAAGGGAATTTCCCTGTGTACATAGTACAGGAGTTGCGAGACCTAGTTGTTCTAGAACTGGCATGGACGCTTTGTCCATTTTCAGTTCTAGTTACAGTAAAACAAGCTGATCTTCCAGATTGTATTGTGTTATGGATTTTAAAGAACCTTGCTATAGCTTGATATCCTTACAATCCTATTTCTGAAAAAATCTATTGTGGGTTTAACTCAGAAATTATAATAAAAGCATCTCAGGTCGCTCCAAGTCAGGACTGTAATTAACTGGATAAGTGGACACCACTTATAATCAAGTTTCACTGAAAATACTATTTCAACTCAAGTGTTTAGTTGCTAGTATAAAGCTCTGAAGTAATTTTAATGTAATTCTGAAACTAAATAGTCTGATGAGTATCTCTAACATTTCAGATATTTATCCCAGGGGGTGGGTGGGCAAATATGAGGGGTTCTTAACCTTTCCCCCCCCCCCAAATCAACTTGTGTTTGGACCTATAGGGGTAATCAAAAGTCTCACTGTCGGCTTAAAACAATGGTACAATGAGAATCTCTCTCGGAAAGCTTTTTTCTGCATTATTGCTTTCTTAGAAGCAGATTTTTATTGATGATGCCGTGGGTCTGTGGTAACAAACAATTTCTAGTTGTACGCTATTTAAGACTGTTTACGCTTCATTTATTTGAATTTAGAGGGGTATAAGATAAATTGTATTGCAATCTCTTCTCCAGTTGTGAGCTTCTAAAATGTGTCTCTTCAAATTTTTTTGGTAGGGTTATGTTTTAAGTTCTATTGAAGGTCGTGTTGCAGTGGAGTATTTGGATCCAAGTCCAGAAATCCAGAAGAAGAAATATGCATTCAAATGTCACCGTTTGAAGGAAAACAACATTGAGCAGATTTATCCAGTTAATGCTATTTCTTTCCATAATGTCCACAACACGTTTGCTACAGGTAGAGTAGATACTCAATTTTTTGTAATGCTTGCATCAATTCCTTTAGTTTTGGTGTAAACAGGTCAGCCGTTACTTTGTATGCCCCTGATTTTTAAGTGTTGAAATTGTATTTCTTGGAATGAGCAGGGTTTTTAAATTACTTGATGCAGTGAGAGTTAATTGCTTTAACAAGGATTTAGGGAAATACTTGTCATGCTCTTTACTGAATTATGCAACTCTGTGTAACCCTGTGTTTTTACTGACAAAGTAATTCCAGGTAGTTTTCTCTTTTCCTTCCTTTTCTTCTCTGCTGTATCTTTTCAGTCTTACCGTTCTCCCAATTATAATTTACAAACAGTTTTTAAACATTAATTTTCAGGAGGTTCCGATGGATTTGTAAATATTTGGGATCCATTTAATAAGAAGCGGCTGTGTCAGTTCCATCGGTATCCCACAAGCATAGCATCACTTGCCTTCAGCAACGATGGAACTACCCTTGCAATAGCTTCTTCATATATGTATGAAATGGATGACATTGAACATCCTGAAGATGGTATCTATATTCGCCAAGTGACAGATGCAGAAACAAAACCTAAGTGAGTATGCTTCACCTGTATTTGAGCCTTTCGGAGCATTCATCCCAAGATTTATTAATTTTCCTAAATTCATGAATAGCATTATTGATGCCAGGAGATAGTGCAGCTTGACAGTAGGGTTGGTTTTGATTTTATCTTGTTTGCCCAAGCTTTCAATATCCGTAGGTTGATAGACGTCTGATGGATAAAATTGTGCCTAGTTGTTTAGTAGGAGAAGAATGTCAAACTCTTATCCTTTTTGAATAGGTGCTATTATACGAAACTGTGGAGTTATTGCTAGCTCGTTGCTTCAAGAATTAAGTGAAGAATTCAAGAATAATTTATTGAGTAAATGTTAGTGTGTTTGGATATTTAAAACCTAGAATTAATGAAATCTGTATACACTTGAATATGCACAGTCACACTTCTGTCACAGAAGTGAATCTCGATGCTGTTCTAGGAAGGTTGTGTGAAGTCAAGGAAAAGCTTTCTCAGTTCCCATGTACTGGAGTTTGCGGCCCTCTGATAACACACTTTTCTATCATTGTTGCTGTCAAAATGGGGCAAACTGATTGATGGAGGTAAAAGATTTCTGTTAAGCTCGCTTTGGCATGAATGTTATATAGAAAAATTGCTGTCACAGTGCAGAATTGCACTAGTCTTCATTATGCTAGCACAGGAGCGGTTGTTTTTATTTTCAAATTCCCGTGGTTTGTCATTGCTATTTTTTTTTTATTTCCGGTACTCAGTGTCTTACGCTTTATCTGGTTGTCTCCATTATTTAGTGTCTAAGTGGCTATGTAAATAGACATGCATAAGTGATCAAAATTCTTGCGTTTAAAACCTCAAGACCTTCCTTCCTCCTCCCTTAAGTGACTTGTATATTGCTTCGGAGCAGCCATTTTATCGCTGTGGAGATGTGAGGTGGAAGTTACAGAAGAATAAATACACCATCTCTCACTTGGAGATGTGTGTTTTAAAATAATTTTGATACTCATGGAAAAAGGAAACCAGAACTATTTCAGTGTTTATTTCTGGGGCTTCCTCAAGTGAAAAAAAAAATTCCAAAGATGGTAATTAAAATTTATCTTAAGAACAGATGTTCTTGTTAGATTTGGAAGGGTTTAAAAAAAAAGAAAAGGTGATAGAAGAATACTTGCTGCTATTGGTCTCGTAATAGTAAAAACTACTTTCAGTTATTTTTGTTCATTGCTAGTTATGGTTGCTAATTCTGTAGATGCTTCATTCTGCCGTATGAGGAGGTTAATCTACAATTAAACAATATTTCCTCCTGGCCCTCCATTATTTTCTGAAACAGATGGTTCATCATTTCCTGGGCTGTTAAACACAGCAAGGTTAAGGTTAGACTCTTGGGAATCAGCTAGTTTTGAATCTTATTAGGCTGTAGAAGGAAAACTAATAAGAATACTCCTTAATATCATTTTGTGACTGTAAACAATTATTTATTAGCAAACAATTGATCCCAGAAGAGCAAATTGTTTGAGTCAGTAATGAGCTGAGAAAAGACAGAGCATATCTGTGTATTTGGAAAATAATTGTAACGTAATTGCAATGCATTTAGACAGGCATCTTTTTGGACCTGTTTCTATCTTTAAATGAATTTCTGAAAACATTAACAAGGTTTGTATGCTTTTCTGACATTTACAAGTTGCTTGTGCCAACCTTAGGGCACTAAGAATGATGTGTATATTTTAACGTTACAGTAGTGTGAGTCATCTCTGGTTTATTCTAAAAATAAGTTATTAGGACAGAAGACGAATAGTTGTTTCATAGTGATCTTTTTTGCATATTAATTTGAATCACTTAGCATTTCTGCACAATGCATTTTCAAATGCATCAAGATGGTGTCATATTGTATAAAGAAAACTTGGCAAGATCAGCTTTTTGACCTCTAAATTATTATATGCTGTATCTTGATACAAGTGAAAGTCTACACATTTCTGCTCTTAGAGAATGTCAGATGTTTTTTACCTGCTTATGATTACTCTAAATATTGCTTGCTGAAATATAGTTTATTCGTTTCAGGTCTACTTAGAGGTCTGCTTAGACTTCTGGTGAGACTTCTTCTCTACAAGAGGTGCCCACCTGCTCCTAGCAAGATGAAACTAAAACAATAGAAGTGAGAAGAACAATCTTTGTACTGATGTTGTTTTTAACTAAGAAATATTTGTTTGTAGTATGTCTTAATCTGTCATTACTTGCCTGCTTATAATGTTAGTGAAAATGTTTTCTTTATCTGCTGTCTGTAGCTAAATTAGTTCAGTCCTGTAGGCAACTTTGCATATACCTTTATAAAAACTTACCACATTTTGTAGTATCTAACTATGAAAACTTCCAGTGGTCTCATAATTGTTCAATAAATATCCATAGGTTTTTGAAAACAAATACTTTGTGTAATAACCTGTGCTGTTTGTGAAACAAATGTTAAGACCAAACCTTAAAGTTGTAAGAATTCTTGCATTCTAGATCTTCCGGACAGGAAATTTCTGAACCTTTGGTCTTTTCCTGGGGAGGTAAACTGGGAGTTTCTTCATTACCTGGAGACGCTGACTCTCTGGGCAATGTTTTCACAGGGCTGTGAAAGCCTGAAGTTGTATTAGGTGTGCTTGTTTGATCATTACTGGAGAACCATTAACTGTTTCTGGAGGAAGGAACTTGAACCATGTGGTACTGTTAGTGTGGTGTGTTTTTTTGTTGTTTTTTTTTCTTTTTTCCCCACGTACTGCATACAAGTCTAAAATTAATGATGCTTGGGAAGAATTGAGGGTAGAGGGGGGAAAAAAAAATGTAGAGTTTCAGGCTGTAGCTGAGTGGTCTGTTCCAAATCTGCAGATCTGACCTGATAGCCCAGGGTTTATGGAGTAACACAAGTGGAAAGGTAGAAAAAAGGAGTTTCCCAAGAGTGGAAATGTCATTCTGGCCACAAAACCCACAAAAATGTGCTGTTTCTGTGGATGTCTTGTTTCCTTATTGCCAGTTAGTAACAAGTCTAATTTGTAATCAGATTTTGTATCAGCCTCTTGAGGATTTTGGGTGGGGTGTAGGTGTGAGAAGATACTTGAACTTGGACAAATAAAAAATTTCTTGGGAAAGTAGTATTAGAAAAACAACTTAGAGACTGTGTGTTTGTTTTTTCTAAGCAG